ATGTCAAGATCTTGGTTCCAAGATGTTCGACTAGGGATTAAATTTCTATGTATTTTTGAAGTAAAAACTTCTGCTCCTTTGTAATTTGTCTGATCGCTTTTTCTCATAAAAAGAGATCTCAGGTACTGCTAAAAGTACAGGGTAATCACTGGGGATCGTGCAAATGCAATCAGAAAAAACATCTTAAAATACTGACTACTAAGTGTCTCATGAATGTGGCAGTGAGCGCGACTTGCGCGGACTTCGGTGGCTTTAAAGTCCGGTAAAGTCTAAGAATTGGACTTAGACCGCTTAGAAATGTGCTTCACAAAAAAGAAAAATCAACCGTGAATCCGATCTCGGTATTTTTGCTTTAACTCCTGTTCCTTAGGTCCCCTAGAATAAGTTCTTTTTTTAATAGAAGCGTCGTGAAATTTTCTACAAAATCCGTACCTAAACTTTAATTTCAGAACTTCAGTCAAGAAAACTAAGCAAATTATACACGAGGCGAAAAAATAAAAACTTTGTAAATTTGGTTTGTTTTATTTAACCTTCTTCTTCTCCTATTATTTTCGTAAAAGAGCGGAGCAAAAGCGTCAACACAATTTGTGTTGGGTACTTTCAAATGTGCTCTTTCTTGTGGTTTGTAAAAAGACTTTTTAGAGCAGATGGTGTGCTCGAGAATCAAGTTTCAAAAATATGTCAAAAATCGACAACCCCGTTTCCAACAGTGTACCCAGCAAGAAACGGAAAACATGATTGAAGTTTTGATGTTGCAACTAGGTAGAGAAGAACAATCATTTCTGATCAAAGGAAAAGAAACCCGATCGAAAAACGTTTTGTTTTGACGAAGTTATGAGACTTTTACTGAAAGCACCACCATATGGACCGGGTCACGGTTGATTTTTCTTTTTTGTGAAGCACATTTCTAAGCCTATAACTTTCTTACTAGATGAGCTAACAGGGTCAATCAATAGTCATCTTGTAGAGCGTTTTTTACTGCATCGTTTCTTCATAGAGACAAATTTACAACCACTTGTTTCACTATAGAAAAATTTATTATTCAAATCGGGTCAGGACTTCTGGGCCACCCTTTATAGGACGTATTGTCTGTTCTAAATTGGATGTGGATAATATCCCACTTAATTTGATCAGTGTATATGCACCTAGTGATAGGACTGTAAAAGTTACCGTTACTTCTTCGGCTGTTATCGACAACGGTAACTGTCTTTTCAGTTACCGTTGTTTTGGCCCGGCCGCCGGCAGTCTTTGCCCGGGGACCGCCAGAAACAAAAAATAATTATTTCCACAAAGATTTTTGTCCAATAATGTTGAAATAACTATTACTTGTTTATTTATTTCATTTTCTTTTTCTCTTTTGTTCACATAATTTCACTTAATAAAAGTGCAGATACAGTGTATTGTCTCTCTCTTAAGAAAGTGAGAATTGAGCAACTGTATTTCAGTTGTGAAAAAAATTTAAACTATCGTGGATGAAGGTCGTGGCCACTGCCGTACCACTCACAGATTCCTGGTTACGCCACTACTTCCAAAATCGTTAGTTTACCATTAAAACTGTTGAAACTTTCATAAAGTACATGGTTCTGTAGTCTAATTTCGTTGATGAAAACAAAAAGATTTCTCAAGCTGGCTGTAGATGCTGACGTCTCCAGGGATCTTAAAAACCGCAATTACAAAACATTAAAGTTATATTTCGATTAGTTTGGTAGACTGGCACGTGTGTGCCAATCAAAATCATGTCATTTATGAAAGTTTCAACAGTTTTAGTGGAAAACTAACAATTTTGGAAGCCATTTTAAGCCCCTGCCCGGATATTTCTGTTATAATTAAGAAATAGTTACCACAAAGTTAACTAACTGATAGTTACCGTTATTTCAACGGTAACTGTATTGCCAGTTAACGTTAAATCAACGCAACGGGAACTTTTACAGTCCTACTCATGCTACCAGGTGGCCAATTGAAAAGTCTATGCAATAAGATACTATTGCCTAATGAAGATCCTATAATTAAAGCTATAGGATATACTGACGATGTAGCAACGGTTGCTTTTGAAATACAAGATGAACATGAAACATTTGGTATGTTTGACTTGTATAATCGTGCATCTGCTGGGAAAATAAATGTGAAAAAAACTGAATTATTTTGGATAAGCGTTTGGCTAGATCCACCACGTTTTCAAGCACGTATAAATAGAGATTGGTATATATTTCTTGGTGTACCATTAGATAATAATGGTCGTATACCAGATAATGAACTAATATAATTAGTTACATCAATCAAGCAGTATATAGGCATGTGATATAGTATGAGTTTGTCCTTTGTGAGCGTAGTACGGTTTTAAAAGTATTTGTATTAAGTGGAACAGTATATACATTTTCAATAACAATATCTCCTAATAGGATTGTAATTGACTTACAGAACATATGTAATAAATTTTTGTGGTCTAGCCTAAGACCAACCATAAATATCAACACATTAGTTGGTAAACGAATTGATAGTGGACTAGCATTACCACATGTTAAAACGATGATAGAGTCATACCGTATTTCTTTTAGACTTCTTTTATTATCGGATGGTAGTGTTAAATACAAGTTTTATGCGTTACAATCAATGGCATTTAAATTAAGGATATATGATCCTAGTTTATGGTCTAGTTTGATCCTTTTGTGACAATCTACTTGATATCTAGTATCACTAGCCGACTGCGACACGAGAATAAATATTTGCACAATTTTATCCTATGAAGATCGTTAGTTGCACAATTAGTGATGTTAAGTTTTAATTCGTGCAATTCGTTAATTCGTAAAAGAGACGGTGCCTTCCGTAAATCAAAATACAAAAACCATCCTCCTCGGCTATTTAAAATTTACAAAAAATTTAGAAACTTGTCAATTCAATCTGTTCATAGAGATAAAAACAGGTTATTTC